TAATCGAGTTTAGGGGTTAGGTGTAACTTTCCAGTTTTGCCCATCTATCTCCAAGGTCCAGGGCAATACTGGAAATCTGGTCCGATTCAAAGGTTCTATTAATCCTACACTGCATGTGCTTCAGGTCTCACCCTAGTAGCTGAGACAAGCCACCCCTAATTTTTTTATCCAATCAAACCATGTTTCTTAGTTTAACAAATTATTTTGGGGCTACCTTTTTGAACAAATCAACCAAATTGATAAACCGACTCAAACTGATATGATTCAAGTTGGTCGATTTTCAATCAGTTTCGGGTGGCCAATTCTTTGACCCGACCAGGCCGGTTAAGTTGGCCAAACAGCCTACAACTGAAAACCGAACCTACCAATGAACACTCCTATGGGGCACATGAGGTCCCCTACCTTGGATTAGGGTTGTAAATGGGGATCAAATCCAATTGGATATAGGCATATCCCCAAATTTGATTAGTTTATATTCAAATTTGAATCATATCTTATCTTTAGAATCCAATTCAGATTGTAATCAAATATAAATATATATATATATATATAAGCAGTCCACATCAGCCATCCCCCCCCCCAAAAAAAAAAAAGAAAATTCTCTCATTTTTACCCTATCTAGCCTTCTCATTAGGCCACATGGCAAGGTAGGGTATCTCATTAAAAGGCAAAAATCCTATTATACATGGAAACTAAATTAGAACCATACATGGATATGAAACTTCAGAAAATAATTTCCTTCTCCTTAGGAAACTAACTACTCCCCTTCTTCACTCTCCACATCACCTATCTGTTTTGGCTTCCTTCATGAACATCTAACTCGAGAGACGTTTCATATTTCAAATATCCCAAAATCCAAATAACCCACCACACTGAAAGAGATCTTTCAGAACTCTAAGAGAAAGCATGGATTTGAAACTCCAATACACCCCTTCCCACTTATCAGGGTGTATCGATATTTTAAACCTTACGTCAAAGACTTAGGTAAATCTCATAAATGGCATTATATATATATAATGGTAAGATTTGATCCATTAAATGACATCTTTGAAATGTATAAATGGTGATAAACATATTATATCGATATTTTAATTTGAGTATCAAGAAAATGGGACCATACCTTTTTCTGAAAATAACTCTTGCAAAAAACGGGACTCTTGTAAAATTCATGGTTTAATTTCTCAACTACCTAAAAAGCAAAAGGCAATATCTTGCAAAAGTTCATAAAGTTAAATTAGTGAAAGAGGCATCAGTAAAATGGTTCAACTACTTTTGCAATTATATATATATATATATACACATTTGTGAGTCCAGACTATGATACCAGAACATTATGATATCTGATAAAAATTGTAATCAATCAACGGGTACCATAAAAGTGGTAACAACCATTCAGCTGCTATATATTCATCAAAAATCACAGGAGATTTTGATTGGTCTAACGTCTAAGTTCTTCCGATATTATACTACTTTATTGGCATGGCCTTATTTATTTTTATTATTATTTAATATCCATATCAATTTAAAACAACTGAACATTTCTTGCATGTTTTTATATTATTTATTTAATTTAATGCAAATTTTAGATTAAGATCGACTTTTCTTAATTTTTGGCAATTTATATCTTTTTTTTTTTTGCAGTCTTCTTTGAAAAGCAAATCATGCAGTCAAAGGTAATTTACATTTAGTTCTGGTTGTTTTTCAAAACAAAAGCTTAAAACAACAACAACAAACCTGATAAGAAGCTGTGGTGGCTGCATCCTGTTTTGAATCCACATAAGTGTCAATAGGCAGTTCGGTTCAATTCAACAGATTTGACTTAAAATCATATGCAATGAAGGCATAAGGAGAAACATCAAAAAGACATTTCTTGCATTTGGGGGCAATTTCTATGTGACGCCTAATGGCACCTACATATTTGAAATAACTGTACTGTACGTTTTGTGCCAAAGCATGATTCTTAATTTATTATATCAAGAAATGTCAAAATTTATGTTCAAATGTTGTAACTAGAAACACTATGGCACCGGGTGTTTGGTACAGGAGTCATTTCTGTAAGGTGTTAAACCACATTTGCTACAACAGAAAAAATACTTCAATAATTATGGGCCTAATAAAAATAGTAAAAAAGAAAAACTAATAATGCAAATCAAGTTTTATTAATTTTTTTAATATTGTAAAAGAGTTCAATGCAAAAAGGACTAATCAAGTAAAAAAAATTTATTTTTCTAAATGTAATGTCCCAAGTTTGTTATTTTTCTTATTTCTTCTACAAATAATTTTTTTTTCTTTGTAGTAGTAGTAGTAGGAATAGCAAGGTTCAAAATATCAGTATGCCCGATACGCCGGTAGGGGTGTAGTAGATCCTTGGTGGAACAACAGTACATCCAAGGCCATCATTTTTCTGTTTCAGCCCTGCGCTAGGACAGTGTCTTAGCAAAAGTGAACTCAAGGTGTTTATGCCATATCAGCACAGCAGCACCATATAAGCATTTTGCTCTCCCTCATTCTTTTTCTTATTTCATTGATCATTTCAAAACTATTTTAAGCAACACTAACTGCCTCCAACCACCTGTACGAGCCACTTTTAAAGAAGACTCACTTTACATTCTCACCTTTTTGCCCATGCAGCACCAAGCTGGTACCAAGGGAGAATGACTGTTCAGCCCAACTCAGAATTCCTAGCCCCACCGTATAGGTGGGATGAATTTTGACAGTGGGCTGCAGTGCACTTCTCCGTAATATAAAACATACACAAAACCTGATGTTACTTTACTGAATTTCATTGCGTGGCTGTAGGGCAATGACTGCCAAACACCACCTTAATTTACCACATAGCTAGCAGCCCATCATCCTCAAACTTGTACATAATGCTAATTGCACAAATCGCAAGGAATATTTTTTGATATCAAACAGGTCAACGCTTCGCCCCCAAAAGAGAAAAAAAAAAAAAAAATCAATGCCGTGCAATATGGGCATCAATGAAATTGATAAACAGCATTATTTCCTCCAGTGGTCAAGAAAGAATTAGGCCACTTAAGGTATGTCTGGATCTTGGAGAAGAGCTGACGACGGCATGTTTCAACAGTCAAGCAAGTAGGCCGGTAGATGAGACTGATATCCTTTATGGACTATAATATATGTTAGAGTAAATTAAAATACATCCCTTAGACCATGTTTTCCAATAAACTTGTGAAGGAAATGCTATCAGCTAGTTATCCCCAATCATGACCAGAGTCGAATCAAAGCAGGTCATACTTATTCAATTGCTCAAACTGCAAAAGAACAACGATTCATGCTTGAGAGGCATACGTTCTATAATGGTACAAATAATGAAAGAAACATTCATCAAAGCTCAAGACTCGAAACCCCATTAAGGGTCCTCTCTCCTGTACCACAGAATACTGATGATGTATTACAGAGAATAAACTTTGCTTACCTCCGAATGTTTTTCATTCATCTATTCTCTTGCTACCAAAATTATGTCTCCAACAATTGCAACGCAAAGATAGAGGCCATCAGGTAATTCTAGTCATCACTGACTCAGTTTTGTTGTAGGGTGACTTTCCATCCTACATCAAGATGTTACAACCCTCTCCTGCACAGTTTGAAGCTTATACAGCAATTCGGAAACTACATCTTGCAGGGAGACATGTTTCAGCTGATTGTTACTTCCATTTATCCTAGTTCTTGAGAGGAGTAAGATCTCTGGAGTATCCACATTTTCGAGTAACTCATTCCAGAAATGTTCTTTCTCATTGAGGTCTGAAACCTTCATGAGCTTGATAACACTTTCCAGGGTGGCAACATTTCTACCAGCACCACAACCCATGGCAGTTGCAGCACCCACTGCATTTGCAAGTGCTAATGTATTAACTGTGGGCATATCATGAAGAAACCCAAATGCAATGGCAGCAACAAAACTATCTCCACAGCCAACAGTATCAATCACATTCACCTGCAGAATTTAGTACATCAATAGAAAATTCAAAGAGGTAATTCTACAGGTAAGCAGACTATTTCCTATATGAGAAAACACAACCTGGGTAGATCAATAGGATGGATCTAAATGGTTGTTGGATAGCTCATCCATTAAAATGTTTGTTGAGTTACATCATTGTATCCACCTTCCCACAGTTTTAGAGAATACATACTACAGATTTACCTTGAACGCTGGTGCATAGGAGATGCTTGACATTGTGATCAGAATAGAACCTTTTGGGCCCATCTTAATGATCACCCATTTTGTACGCACTCCTTTCTTTAGCAACTCTTTTCCAGCCAATACAGGGTCTGCTATTCCAGTCAATGGTTCAGCCTGCACATTATTTGTATTCCCAGACTGAATTTAAATGAAAGCAAATACTGAACAAGGAAAGCACTAAATTATAAATAAATTTTTAAGCAGTTATGATGTTTTTTTTTTCTCAAGTTTTACAGTGGTAATTTTGTAATTTGGGACTTGGGAGAACAATAACCATAACCCTGTTCGTTCTTTCTTTCTTTTTGGTAGAAGCCCTGTTCTTTCTCAATATTGCCATAATTTGACAAAGAATGAACTTAAAGTATTTCCGAGTAGTGCAATTCTTCCTTGTGTGATTCTCCTTGACAGAAACCTCTATTTACTCTTTTTTCTCTTTCTTATTCCTAGTTCTCTATTGTATGTCTAATCAAGACATTTTGTTTCAATTCTTTAGCACTCTCATAATGTCTTCAAATGACTCTTCAGGATCCTCTAGACAAACCACATGTTTCCCCTTCTATCTTTCAATTTCCTTAGTTTCAGTTCTTCTTAGCCCTTCTCTTTGAGAAGTTATCATCTTTTTGTCCAAGGCCAACTCAGATTACTCTCAAATGTAGTCATTCTTCACTGTCCTCTGTTATGATTCATTATACCAAGTTTCAACCCCATAATTCCAGCTAAAACCCTAATTTCCAGAATCTAAGGGTTTCCTCTCACAAAGGAGGATTTCATCCTTTTGTGCTCAAACTGCTCAAAACCCCTTCAAGTTGAATTGTTTTATGCATTTCTCCATTCTAAGTCAGCATATAAAGTTTCACAAAAAATTTCATTCCTAACCTATTTTCTCAAATTAACAAATTTAATTGGTTGGCAGATAAACTGACAATATATTATACTTGGATACCTGTACATGCCTAGTGTAGCACTGGATAATGCACAGACACTTCAGATATACATTATAGCTTTAACACTTTTAAGATATGCAAAAATAGTATGTTTTAATAAATTATACAATAAAAATCTGTATATATTAGAAACTTAATTAAATTTAGCAAGATGTAAGTCTTGAGAAATGGCATTAGCTTCAAAATTAGATATAGATGAATGGCATAAGCATATTATATGGAATACCTATACCTATATCCACGTCCAGGATTGATGGGCACCAATAGAGAGAGTGAGAGAAATGTAAATATTTTCTTTTTTTTTTTTTTGTAGTAGGATCCCAAATAGTTGTTTTGGGTACCTTTGTAGCCAGTTTGGGTCCAGGGGCATTTTCATCATTTTATAACTTGGATTCTAGTCAGGGGCAGTCGAGTGTACCTTTGCTGGGTTTCGGTCCCTCAGGCGTTTTTGTAATTAAAGTTGTCTTTAGGGGGGTTGAAGTTACATTTGTTCCTAAGGGGCTTCTTGTATAGGGGGGATATTCTAGGGGCTTATGTGTAAATATTTTAGTTGGCTTCCCCAACAAGCCATTAAGTCTTATAAAAGAGAAGGGGGCTGTTTCTGTGGGGATTTTTTTTGGTTCTCTCTTTGTTTGAGCTGTAGCTCACCTTGGCTAGGGTTTTCAAGTGTTGGGAACTTGGGTTTCGAGGAGTCAACCCATTGGATGCCTTCCAATTGGCATGTACCCTCCAAAGGCGGGTTATCAATGTAACTGTGTCTCAAAGGGGAAAAGCAAAAATAAGTGAAAGAAATTCCTTCTAGAATTTGGACATAAAATCTGCATGAAACTAGATTTTTCATAGAGATAAATGAAATCCCATATGTACTGACTGTATTGACCAGTATCCCTATCATCATACTGATATACTAAAAAAACAAAATGCATTGTGAAATGCAAGTTATGAGACTATTTATCGAAAAATAAAAAGTGCAAGTTATGAGACTCCATGAAGTTTGTTCAAGTAATAGGAAAAGCTATGGGACTTCACTTTTTTTCATAGATGACAATGAAACAACACAGTCAAAAGTATATTATATTATTATCTGCATGATATGCTAATAAAAGGCAACCTCAGTAGAATTTATAACAAGATGCTGAGCTAACCTCATCAGAAGTTAAAAGAAGAACATCACTCATCCTCAAAAGCCGGTCAAGTGCCATTTGCTGTTCATGTGTTCCAACAGAAAGTGACTTCCCCCGTGGACCAGGATCAAAAAATACTGAAGTTCCTAATTCCATAGCATGATCTAGAGCAGAAACAATTAAACTGGGAGAAAACTCATCAAAGCCATAACCATTGCAGAATAGAATCTTTGACTTCTTGATTGCCATCCTTGCTTCTCCAGAGAGTTTTCTCATCCAACTGAAAGCAGGCTCCTTGATAAAATCAGCTCGACTGATAAAGGACAACATATACAATCAGACAATTATGTGATCCAAAAAGCAAAGTAACCAATATATGAAAGACCATTGCACCAGATGATGGAGAGATGTATTTTAGAATTTAGATTATCTCATGTACCTACAAAATCCATGTTTTGAAAAAGGGTCCACCAAAACCCAGCATAGAAGTGTTTCATAGGAGGCACTAGGGCTTGCAACTGAATCTGCATCTTTATCCATTCTGATAATACCAATTCCCTCATCATGAAGCACATCTAGGAGGAAGCGTCCATAAGTTTCATTACCCACATGGCCAAGTGTCAAACAATGGAGCCCCAATCTTGCTGCTGCAATTGCCATGTTGCAGTTACCCCCAGCCTCCCAAAAACGCTGCAAGGATGGACACATAATGTCCAGTCAAGTGTTCATATGCGTATTTGTAGCAATACAAATGCATCTAGTATAGTTCCAGTTTGCAACTAAGAATTTCCACATTGAAGAAAAATAATGCATCCATATTTTATTATAAAAAATAGTTCATACAGGCAAAGAAAATACAATAACTGCATTACCCAAATTCAGAGGAGGTAAATCATCTACAAATATTAGGCAAACCCATTCATGTGTGCATTCTGCACATAACTTCCTAGGAGGACCAAAGGAAAAGTTGATCCTTGTGAACAAAGATTCAAACTGCGCTTAGAGGCTATAACAGGTAAAGTATACCCAAAAAAAGAACTAGATAAATAAACTTTTAAAAAGTTAAAAGAGGGAAAGTTATAACAGAACTTACATTTCTACCCAAATTATGTCTCACACTGAAAATGGGCAAAAAATCAGAAGAGGAAAAAACAACAAAATGATCCTTATGATACTGCCAGAAGGGTTGATATCCTGTGCAGCAAACTATGAAACTAGAGAAAATCAATTCTTAGAGTCAATAGATGAATAGTTGTTAGACACTATGCCTAGTAGGAACTTGGAAAGTAAGTTTACCAGCCTTTCATAGTTTCATTTATAAAAATTTGAGGCAAAAACTTCTGAAGAGATGTAAACAAGAAAAAAGAAAAGACCTGTAGATGAACTGGAAGCTTTCATGGAAGAAGAGATGTCATCATCTTCCAGAGCTTGCTAAGCTCTCTTGAGTTTCCTCGATTGAAAACTTTGCTCAAATCCATCAAATCAACAATAAAGTGCAGAACAACAAATTTTCTTGATGAACTGTTTGAGGATGTTTGGAAAACATGTGCTGAATTTTTTTCCAAACGCATGATGGTTAGATCGGAATTCGGAAGAAGATGCAAGTTGTATATCTCAACTTGGTTACTTATAAGCTGGTGATTGGATATTGGCCAAGTTAATTTGATCTGCCAGAAACTGCTAAGCAAAAGTTCAGTTGTCTCTAGAAAAAAAAAATGATGGGTTAGACAACACCAGCCACATTCTAATCCAATGGAAAGAGGTTTGAAGAACCAATGGAATTCCAACATGCTGACTTCATGGATTGGCAATAGCACCAAATAAGAAATTAAGTTGGCATCTGAGTGATGTACAGGATTACAAGAATGCATGGGTATCTGGTACAACCAAATTACTCAAAATGAACTGCCCTTATTAGATACATAGAGATGGTTGACCATATAATGGAACAATGAAAACTCAAGATTGTTTAAAAAACAGTGTTACCTTGATACACAACAATTTGCTAAGTGTTCAGGTGTCCACAGTTTGTCCAGTGCATCAACTTCTAGAAATCACAGCATGACAAATGACCTTCTTAAATATTAAATCACATGATAGTTAAAAATTGTATGCATTAAAGAATAAGGAACTTCAACAATCAAAATCTTGGCAGCTTACTAGATGTATTCTTTATCAGAACACCTTGTCCAGGAGTGCCAAGTGATAACTTACTTTGCTGACATCAGTTTTCAGCATCATTAGCTTGTCACAAGGAGTGTAACTGAGTACCAAGCCCAAAATGTCAGCATAGCTAGAAGCCTCATTTTCTAAGGTTCTGGAAAAACTGGAAGTAAACCAGTGACCCACCTGAATGAGGTGATGACAGAGAACAGATGTTACAACCCTTGAGTTTTACCATCTCAACAATCTAACATTGCAAAACGCATCTAGTCAGGCACTGAGACAACTATTGTCTTAACTGGGTGTGGGTGGGTGCACCATGTCGAATACTCTGGTTGAATCCAGTTGGTATAAGGCAGGCCTGACTGGTTAAGAAAAATACAGCCTAAACAGCTAAACCCATATTGACTAACAATTGAGTTGAGTGGCGTAAATCCTTTTCTTTTTTTTTTTTTTTGTGGGGGTGGGGGGGGGAGTGGTTCAATGAAGGTTTTACACAAATGAGCATACCAATTCGGTGTTTCCTTGCATGTCTTAACACCATTAAGAATAACAAGGGCTTAATGACTCATGAAATCTCAGTTTGTAAATTATAAGAAAATTTTACACTAGAATAGAACACAATCATAGAATTGATGCCCAGAAGAAAATTAAAAAAAAAAAAGATAAGCACTTGAATGTCCAATTGTATCACAAAAATGACAATGTGATATATCCAGTCCCATAACTCCATGTTTAGTGYAAAATGTCAAACTCAAGTTTGTCTTCGGTTATGTACTTATACAAGGCTCTCTCTGTAAATCCATTGGCAATCTCTTCTTTCAAAATTTCAAATTGCTAGTTTTTTAGTTGAATAGTGGGGGGTTTGAAGGAAACTTCAAATTGTTAGTTCATGCTCACACTTTCTCTATGCAAGGCAGTTCTTTGCAAACCATCAAGAGCATTAGCTCTTAGTCTGCCCAATTACTTTCTGTAAGAATAAACGTTATACATTATTCAGTTACCACAATATACATGAAGCTAATATCCTATTTTTATCACTCAACCCCAGTTTGAATTCCTTCAAAAAGATAATCATATAATGAGGCAGATATGGTTTCTAGTACCTGTTAGATCAAGAAGAATAGCACCTACCTTAGAAGAAATACTGGCAATGATCAAACCCAAAATCCCCATATTGCACCACTTGCTCACCATCCCAATCTGGGATAAAGCACATTAATGAGAACTCTCAAACTTCAACAAGTCACATTTTCCAAATTTGACTTCTAACAAGATCGAATAAAACAGTTAGCAGCATTTGCCCGATTGTACCAAAGCGTAAACCCAAGCAACCAATAAGACAAAAATGTTCCATGAAACGTATTAAATCTTGAATCAAAAACCAGGAAATAGCAAATAAGTAAAAACAACCTTATCGGGACTCGAGGCCGCTAACTGTTCCATGTAAGTTCTCCTCTCCTCGAACGACGCAGGCGGTAACTTCGGGACATTGAGAACTATGTCAACGCAAAGATTACCAAGAGTAACGACGTCGACCTCCTTGACAAATGTACTCTTCAATCTATCTTCTTCTCCACGACCGTCCACGAGGCTTGGGGAACTGGGACGATTCTTCGGAGCGAAGATGTAGCAGTTACTAATCGAAGGAGCTCCATATTTCGCCGATACTGGCAGCAAGAGACGATTGATGATTCGAGGGTTTTGAGAGAATCCAGATCGTGGAGATGAAAAGCTGAATGAAATGGGAAGCTTCAGGCTTTGAAAATGCATTGAGAATCTAAAAGCGCTAGTCTGTGCGTACTAGAGAATGGAGGAGAGGGAGGGAAATGTCAATAATACATGGAAATGAGAAGCTTCAGACATTTGTTTGAAGTTCAGAGAGGCTGAAGCCAGAGACTCTTTGTGAGCATTTTTTCAAACACTTGGATAAGTATACAATTTATTCAATTTATGTGATACCTACCAAAAGAATAGGGGTGATCGTTTCGGCCCGAACCGCAGAAGCCGGGTCCGAAAATTCTAGGCTTACGCCTGGGTTTTGTGTTCAGATTCACCCGCATTAGGCTCGTAAATTTTAATCGGCCTGGGCCTAATGTATAAAATAAATTTATATATATATTATATATCATTTAATATAAAATATTATATATAATATTGTGTATGTACAATGTTTTATATATGAAAGGTATAAGTTTAGAATCAGGCCCAACTTGGCCCGAGCCTGCTTGTATAGACCTGGGTTCGGGCTTCTATTTCAGGCCCGGAACTCCAAACCGGACTGGACCTGGGCCTAGACTATAATCCTTATCATAATTATCACCTTGAAGAAATGGTAAATTACAAAACCACCCTATACTTAGAGGTAATGATATTTAACGCCCTAAAAGTTTGTTTTGCAATATTGACCTCGTGATTCGTGAACTTCAGGATTCCGGCACTTTGCCTTTACCATCCCTTAACTTTATGGAATATTCCATTACATATTCCTAGGTTCCAGATATTCCTATGTTATTTTATGAGATCATTTTCCCCTTTTGACTTGTTTTTTTCTAAAATCCTAACTCTTAGCACGTTTTCTCAACTTTCTTCCAATAATGTTCATCTTAACATCTTGAGAACGATGGGTTCATCAAGGCTTAAGAATGTTTGTACTTTACAATGGTTATTTTCATCATTCGATATCTATTGTCACCAATCAATAGAATCTTGGATGGCAATTTAGTAATTTTAATTTCATTATCAACCCTTTAGAGGGATAGGGGCAAAGTGCTAGAATGAGATGATTTTTTACTTTCTGACAAAGCAAAGTTCCAGGGACTAGGGATGTCAATGGGTCGGGTTTGGCACGGGTTTGTCTTAACCCTAACTCAACCCTACAATGCCTCAACCTAAATTAGACTTGACCAGCCTTAAAATACATAATTTCCTAACCCGACCTAACCCTATAGGGTCAAACCCGATACCGACCCGACCTAACCTATAGCATTTCAATTGTATTTTTTTAACATGCTTTGAAGACCTAAAATCTATTAATTTAAGTTAGGGAATTGTTTTATAGAATCTAAGATGTCACTTTTCCCATTTAAAAAAAAAGAATAAAAAAATCAAAACCAACAAGTAAATAAATCTTAAACTTTAAAGCTATAGAGTTTGAAGTCAAACTACCTAAAATCTTAAATGTTACATCATCCCTTGTTTTTCATTACTTCACTTTTTATTTTCCAAAAATTAGCCCCAAAAGCTTCTTCCTTTCACATATACTACAATTTGAAAAACCTATATAATTATTATTATTATTATTATTTCATTAATTATATGTGTATTATTTTATTATTTTATTATTCACTAAATTATTTAATAATTTATAATTTTACTTAATCAATTATGAAATACATAATTTTTAATTATTATTTAATTGATTATAAAATAAGTATATTAAAAATTAATTAAATAATATTTGTATAACTATTTATTTTAAATATTAATTAATATCTCAAATTTTAAAAATATTTAATTATTCATGATTTTTATTAATTCCATTATTTATAATTTTTTATATTCATTTTATTAATTGTTCATTGTTTGTTAAATAATTAAACAAACTTCCTCTTATCCATGGTTAAAATGGTCAATTGTCATTTTTCAAAACTCAACATTCAGGTTTCAAAACATTCCCTACATTCAGACTTTAGAGCCAAGAAAAGTTCACCAACTTCAATACACCTTTAAAAGTAATTATTAAATAATTTAATGAATAATAAAATAAATATTAGTAGATAATAAAGCAATTAAGTAATACATAGATAATAATAATGATAATAATAATAATATAATAAATTATATAGGTTTTTCAAATTGTAGCATATGTGAAAGGAAGAAGTTTTTGGGGGTAATTTTTGAAAACAAAAAGTGAAGTAATAAAAAACAAGGGATGGTGTGACATTTAAGGCTAAAGTGAAAAAATGATACGAAACACACTTATTGCCTTTGAAAATGCATGATTGCCCCCCCCCCCCTTTTCCCCAAAATACTGGTTGCAGGATTTGATTCCACATCAACGCTAGAACAAACCAACTAACACACCAACGAGCCAACCCTCAATTGGTAATCATCCCAAAGTTGTAGGTTCCATCATTTTGCCCCCTAACCCTTGAAAGAGTTGATAATGAAATTAAAATTACTAAGCTGCCATCTAAGATTCTATGGATTGGTGACAATAGATATCAAAATGATGAAAATAACCATTCACAAGTACAACCATTTATAAGCCTTGATGAACCCATCATTCTCAAACCTCAATATGTTGTCAAGATGAATGGTTCCTATGAAGAATTTCATTGCAATAAATGTACCGGAATATATAGATATTATCCAATGACTTTGAAAATGATGCACCGACTAGTGTGCTCCAATCTACTAAAAATACATAATTGTTATTTTTTATTTTAAATAATATAACTAAATAATTACTTAAGTAAAAATTATATAGTATTACTTTAAAGAAAATTTTAGATGATCCATGAAAAATAATGACAGAAAATCAATTAATGCAAGACACAAAGCACATGCATGTATGAAACTTTTCCTTATTAAATTAGTTATTTTATATTTATTTTTTTAATATAAAAATTTAATTTTTAATATAAAATTGTTTTCAAAAAATCCATATATCTACTTATAATAGCAAAGAATCTCATATTTCCAACGAAATATTAGTATATTTATGCATGTCAATTATTCAAACATGTAAATCATTTGAAAATAAATAAGATTAATTTAACATAAAAATTACCAAATAAATAAATAAATGTCTTTTTCTCAAGTTGATCCTAAACTCGTTTGAGTTTCAAAAACTCAACTTTAAATGTAGTATATGGAGTTCTCCCCCAAAGTTTCAAAACTAAAAGGTTTCTAGAAACTTTCTTATAAGAGGCAAATTTTCCACTGCTGTTAACATATCAGTGTATCAACTGATGTTGTTCTGGAGATTGCATTGGCGCCCTACAGCACATCCAAATCATACATTCATGGCAAAGATGTTCTCAATGAACGCTCAGATGTGCATGTGAAGCGCAGATATAAATTTATTATGAGATCACATTGACACCCCACAGCACATCCAAACTGTGCATTGAGAACTCCCAATGACAAGTACAGGAGACGTACCCAATGGATGCTCAGTTGTGTTATAAGATCACATTGGCGCCCCACAGCACATCCAATAAAAAGTTGACGCCCCACAGAGAGCACCCCATGAAAGATGTGAATTCGTTGTTTTGATACTCATCTATATTGTGCAACATGCTACAAAGCTATAGCCTATAGTATCAACTATGAACTATCAACAATAAAAATTTGACGCCCTATTTTTCTATGCATACCACGTGCCATATTATCAAGAATATTTCTCTTGGAAAAAAGAAAACTGTGAGTAATTTACTTCATCTTTCATAGCATTTAAATTTGGTATTCGATCCATCTTATTCATCAGTCATCACATGTATTATCATATAGTAGAAATGAAATAATTCCTTGAAAATTCCTGAAATGGCCTATTTTGCACTAGTTTGTCTACAATAGATCCATCAGTCATCACTAGTTTGTCTACAATCAAAAATTATTTTAATTCTACATGGATTTTAAAAGCATCTAGGCGATGGAAGAGAGCATTTGAGAGCATTTTTGGAAGACAAGAAGCTGTAGTCCTACAGCCGAAGGCATTCAGTCTTGAGGATTGAGACATCATAGAAAAAATACTGGTAACAAAATATTATGCTTCTATTTAAGTTAAGAGGACTACAATGTTCAATTGGCATATCGTACTCCTACCTGCTAAAAACTGGACTGAGCCAGGACTTCAGCCAGAAGCTCAATAAGATGTTGCCATTATAAACAAAAAAAAAAACAAATATAAGCCCTAGCTTACCAACTAAAGGTGGGCTGTATACCAAAAAACAAAACTAAAAGTGGGCTAGGATTCACCATGGTCCAACCCTACACCTTCCCGTGAATCAACAAAATAAGCCCCACCCAACAGGAATCAAAAAGCAATGTAAACTCACTTTGAAGTACGGAAGAAATTCAAACCTTCTAATATTAGACCATAACCTTTGTCGGTAAAATAAAGAATGACTAACAAGGGGCAAGGGGGAAAAACTCCACCATAGAAAGGCATACCAGCCTAGACACAAATATAGTACAAGGCTTGTATATATATCACAACAGAAATGAAAGAGAAGACATGTATAGCAAATATGATGCATACACTGCTACAAGGTTGCTTTGGTCCAGTTCCCCTATATGATCCACAAAGAAGATGCATAGATTGACTGATGTTAAAATTTCTCTCAACTAGTAAATATTGTTCTTCCCACTTTTACCCCACATTCACCTTACATATTGCAGCAATGTTCTTCCTCTACAAGTACAACTGAACACATCTGGACCTCAAGATTATAGCAAAGATACCAGAAAGGCTGTGCATCAATTAGTCTGTAGGCAGAACCAAAGCATTCAACCCCAGAAGATCAATCCACATGGCTGATGATCAATGTAGTTGTAATCATTTTTCTAGAAATCAGGAGACACAATAAGAGGTTATTCTAAAGAGTGCAGTTTGTATGCACCTTCAAATGCATCTGATGCTTTTTTCCTCATGGTAGAATAATCACCAAAGAACAAAAACATGGTTAAGCTATACACCATTGAATGAATGACTTGATACTCAGTCCAGCTGTTTAGTCCAATCAAAAGGCTCCCAATTTCGTGCAAAGCTTGCAACTGCTTGCCTTTGCACCTCCAACGACTCGTGTTTCCGGCGACGATGCATGTCTTCTTCCGGCAACCGTAGCATTCCCCTGATAACATTTAGGCCAAAACTGCTTTTAAACTGTTTTTCATCATCTATCACATGAACAAAACCCTTATTTAGACCAAACTCAACATGGAAGTAAGGGAAGTCCTTGGGGATTGAACCACGCAATCCCTTCTCACTTGTGTCAATAAGCTTCTTTGCATTATGCTGACTCCACTCATCCTCAGCTTCATCAATTGCCTGGAGAGAAAATAAAAAAGGAACAATTTTTTTTTCAAGAAATGCGTACTTTACTAAGAAGAATCAAGTTTTCTTCTTCAAACAAGAAGCACAAGACAAAAGAAATATAACATAAGCAAAACTCTAATCTAGAAAAGACATCTCATTAGATATATGAAGAAATCAAGTTTGCTCAGCCTAAAGAAAAAAAAAAAAAGGAAGATAGAAATAGGAAAAAATGGACATTAAAGGCTCAAAACATTCTTTATGCATAATAAATGGATTATACTGGGATATTCAAAGTATATGTATGCATGTATACATATAGAAAATTCAACATTTAAAAACAAGGATATTCATCACATAAGATTTTAGTGCAAGTAAAGATTAAAGGGATGTGATAAAATGTGTAGAACTATTGCTTATTAAATGACTTCCCAGTCGAACTTGATTATATTATTTTAAGCTTCATTTTTTTGGATCAATAACAGAAGCTTTCATTAAGAATTAAAGTACAAAGGTGACTAGGAGAGGGGTGAACTCTCTTAACCCTCCCTTAGAAAAACAAAACACAAATCAATTTACAAAACAGCCCATAACAATTGTTCTGTTCCCACCTCTTGTTTAGCAAGAGTATCCACAAATGAGTTAGCATTTCTTTTTACCCATTGTAACTGAATCTCCAAACCTTGTGCTAGCAGGTTAAACATTCATTTTCATTAGCAAACTTCCATAGACCATTCCCCTCTTTTTGCAGCAATCCTATAACCAGTTTTGAATCCCCTTCAACAATGAGCTTGCGGCATCCCAGCTCCTTTGCCTTTTTCAGTCCTTCCAGCACTGCCAAGACTTCAGCTTGAAGTGAATCGCCTACACCAATAGGACCAGAAAATAGAGCAATGGCTTTCCCATCCTCATCTCTGAAGGTTCCTCCAAATCCAGAAGGCCCCAAATTACCTTCACTACTTCCATCAAAGTTCAGCTTGATAAAACCAAAGGCTGGAGGAAACCAAAGGGGACCAATCTTGGTTTTAGCAGGGGCTGAATTAGCCACTCCCTTCCAATTTCTTCTCATCATCTGTAGAGCTATCCTCGAAATATTTCCAGAGATTTCACCCAATGAACCACTCTAATAGTAACTGCTTCAATAATAGCCTCCCTATTCCTCTCCTTTTCATTAAGCTTCTATTCTATAAGTGGTAAATTGTGTTTTTAGGTACATATATGGAAGGTATGGATTAAAAATAGGCATACCTGCAACTTGTTTGGGCTCAAGTTTAGCACTTAGTCAAAATTCCAACAGGCCTGGGCCCAATTTGTGCAAATTCTTCGAGTTGGGTACCTGACTTGTACCCCTAAAAATAAGGTAGAATTACTTTTCAACATATAATTAGATTTTTAGTAATATCTGTTTTAGTAGATGACCCATATAGTTGGGATAAGGCTTGGATGATGATGATGATCAGTTTTTTTTTTTAATTTTTACAAGTTTTTAAAATAGAAAAATCTTATGATTTCTAATACAATCATGATTCAATTGATTCAAATTTCTTTAAGATTTATGACACTTTCAGAACTTTGCCAGCAACCCACTAGAGGTGAGACTAATGCAGGATTTTGTGACTCAGCACTGTTCTTGCAACTCTCGGGTTGTAGATGTGCAGATTAGAAACAAATATCAAATAAGAAGAAAGAAGAGACGATGCAAGATGAGAACCCTAGGCAATCTGTAGAGAAGCTTTCTTTGTTCATCAACCAAAACTGTTCTCCATAGGAGCCTTAGAAACTTATCTTCCAATATCTGGATCTCTGTTTCTACTTTCTAGTATGTTAAGTGTGAGCTTTCTGGGGTCAAGAAAGAAGGGAAGCTTGTTTAGGATGGTATAGGAATGATATTAATGGTCTAAAGTTGTTGCAATAAATTAATGGAGGTAACCGATAGAAAAGGATTATATCTCCATAAAAAATGGATCGAAAAGGAATATAGATTATTGTGATTCATGGAGGGATTATGTTGTTGGGGTGTTTGTTTGGTTGTTTTTTTTAGATGAATGAATGGTATTTTACTAAATAGAGATAGAAATAGTACAAGCATGAAGCACCTTAAGAGGAGGCACAAGGTATTACCTCCCCTTAAGGGTGGTTCTAAACCCAACCCTTTTCAGATTACAGTTACAAAGTAGCCAAAAATAGAGAATCCCTTGAAGCCCCTTGTTTAGCTAGAGAATCGGCCAAATCATTTGCCGATCTACTAACCCACTGAAATCAAACTAACATGGTTCTTGTAAGCCATTTGACTTTTTTGATGATATCCTTACATCCCCAAACAACAGTTTCTGGGTCCAACATCCATCCCACTATCGCCTTAGAGTCTCCTTCAATTATCAAATTAGTCACTCAAAGTTGGTTGTAAATCTGTTGTCATTGTACCACAGCTAATATCTCAGCCCTTGTAGAGTCGCCATAACCCATTGGACCTGAGAATAAAGACAGAATGTTGCCATCCTTATTCCTCAAGATCCCTCCTATACCCAAAGGTCCTGAATTGCCTTGATTGCTCCCATCAAAGTTCAACTTTACAACCCCTTCCGGAGGGGGTAACCAACTTGCTTGTGTTTTGTTTTTCTTGGATGAGGTGGAGGCCACTGCTGCCCAACTTCTTCAAAGGTCATCACTAGATTAATCCACAAAGATATAAGTAGTTTTTAGCCAAAGGATTGCCCTTGTCAGTATACAATCCTTTATTTCAGCAATGCTTCTCTCCTCCTGGAAAATTCTAGCATTTCTTTCCTCCCAAATGGTCCATAAGAGGGCTGCCYTAATACATCTAGGGAGGTAAATGTCATTGCATGTTAGTCAAATTGATAATTGGGTTGGGGATGGTCCATCTAGGGATATTTTGTATTTTAGTAATGTTGATTTATCTTGTGGGTTAGAATATCTGCTTTGATGGGGAGGCAGTTTTGGGGATAATATCCATGTGGTGCTACATTGGAGATTTCATATCATCTTTGATTGTATTCTCTTTTCTTTCAATAAATTTTTGTTTTACAATCAAAAGTATAAAACAAGACAGCAGTGGGATAAGAGGAGGGCATTCCAGAATCCAGACACACAAAACTACACCATCATAATGTGTTGTGACAAAACATTCCAAATCAACATAATATGACTACCACAGAACATCCTTACATTCTTCAATATCCAAAGTTTAGCTCTTGTTTGAGCAAAAGCCAAATGTGTAGGCTGGCATTGATATTGAATTTACTGATTGATATTTCATACAGTGAATGTTTTATATGTTTGATTTTATTTAGGAAAAAAAGAGATTGTGGGTTCTACATGCTTGAAAATATTTTATAAGTTTGATTTTATTTTTAAATTTTCATTTGAATACGCTTTACATGTTATGTTTATTTATTTTAATTTTAGATAATAGGTTTTTCAAAACATTTATTTTAAAATTTAAGTTTATATTTTTATTAATATTATGTTTAATACTTTTTTTGCATTTTTTTTTAATTTTCTGACTTTTTTTATTTTTTAGCTTTTTTTTGTATTTATGAGCCTTGCTTCAAAAAGGCATGTGCCTCACCTTGCACCTCAGGCGCAAATTGGCCCCTGCACCTTGCGCTTTTAAAACAGTAATTTCATAACACCTGAAGATTATTTACCTCCTCTTTGTATTTGTTAAGTTCTACTTTTGATTTTAACTATATTTAAAACAATTTCCCTTGTACATACATCTTCTAAATACATAAAGTAACTAAAATTTTGACTTCCATACCGGAACCTTGGATGGTAGGCCAACTAGTATTATGTTGAAAATTTTGCTAATGAAAAAGAAGAGTTTGAATATGAGACATGACAATGAAGGAGAGCTTTTTTCCGGCGACAAAGTGGAGGAAGATATTGGTCGTGGAAAAGAAGAGATTTCTTCTGGAAGAAATCGGTGGAGGATCTGCAATTAAAATCAGAGAAGATAAGAGAGCTTTAGTAGTTTTGGGTAGGGAGGCGATTTTCTGGTTTAAAGGTTTTCTCGATGGTACAATCCTTGCAATCACAGAGCTTGGCTGGAAAGGAGTGTTGGTTTGTGGCAAAGAAGGCTTCTTGGTGGAGAAGAAGAGTAATAACAGGGGTACCTTTATTCAACTAACTGAGGCATTTAGAAATGGTAAGAGTATGCATAACAGAAGCAAAAAGGAAACAAGGCTGGATTCAGTTTGCAGAAGCTTTAGATGATTTCGAGCAGAGGAACCTGGGTCGAACCAGTGAGATGAACCAGAAACTAGTACCCTCCCACGTGATAACTTAAGTGGCACGTGCTGGGGCTTTAGTAATGCAATGGGGGACAGTAATCTTGCTCTATCATCATCCCCATCAACCCCTGACTGTCGAACAAGAACAAACTCTTCACAGTTGCAGTGGGTGAAACGCGACAAGCCTAATCCTCACTATGATAGGACTAAGGAGGAGTGGAAGGATGATGACAAAGATGATCAGTGGGTAGACTGTGAAGACTCAGACAACGACTTCTCTGAAAACGATTCTAGCATCGGAAGTTTTGGAGACACGGTTCAAGTTTGCGTGGAGAGTGATGATGACTTTCATATTGTCTCCCTCTTTGAAGGAAGGGAGGACAAGGTTAACAAGAAGAGTTCACAACAAGAAGACCTAACCCATTCCAATAAAAACAGAGATGATGGTCTGATGCTAACACCAGATAGCAGCCTGAAGAATCTTTCAAAATGCCAAGAGGAGAACAAAGGTATCCAAGGGGGGTAAGGATCTCATTCCATGCGAGAGACAAGAGCAAGATGATCAGATGGTGATTCATCAGGGGAACCAGGAGGTTATAGAGGATAATCTGGGCAGGGGTACAAGTCCTGAGATGGTCCAGTCAAATACACCTTCAAAGCTTTCCCAATTAATTAGTTCTGAAAGTGGGGGCATGGAGAGGCACCAAAAGAAGCAGGGTACCAAAGTCTTTGTTACTAAAACTACCCCGTGTTTACTTCTCA